ATGCAGTTCAGGTTGGCCTTGAGCTCACTATGTAGCCTAGGCTGTTCTCACACTCCCAATGATCCTCTTGCCTCAGCCTCCCAAATGCTGGGATTACAGGTGTGCACCACCACGCCTGGCTAGTTCACAGGGATTTTTTTTTTTTTTCTTGGCAGAACTGGGGATTGAACTCAAGCCCTTGCGCTTGCCAGGGAAGCACTTATTCTACTGAGCCATCTCCCCAGTAGGGATCTTGATCTGCTTTCCCTCCCAGAAAATATCACACTGGTCCATTACATTGATGATATTATGCTGGTTTTGGCACAGAGCCAGGAGGTAGCATCCACTCTGAATTTGTCAGTAATGTCACAGGTTGGGGAATAAATCCAGCAACAATTCAAGGTCCTTCTACCTCAGAGAAATTTCTAGGAGTCCAGCCATGTAGGGCATGTAGAGCTCTCCCTTCTAAAATAAAAGATAAGTTATTGCATCTGGCTCCCCCTATAACCCAAAAAGAGGCACGACACCTAGTGGACCTATTTAGATTTTGGAGGCAACACGTTCCTCACTTAGGTTTCTTACTTGGGCTCATTTATTGAGCAACTTGGAAAGGTGTTAGTTCTGAGCTCGGCCAAGAACAAGAGAAAGTTCTGCAATCCGTCCAGGCTGCTGTGCCTTTTTCATATGGGCAAGGGATGTAATGGAAGTGGTATATATGTGATTGAGCTGCTGTGCCCCTGGGGCCATACGATCCAGCAGATCCACTGGTACTGAAAGTGTCAGTGGCAGGTCGAGGTGCTGCTTGGAGTCTGGCAGGCTCCCATAGGTGAGCTGCTGTGCACCTTTAGAATTCAGGAGCAAGGTTCTGCAAGCATCTGCAGACAACTACTCTCTACTTTTTTTTTTTTTTTTTCCAACTACTCTCTTAAAAAACAGCTCCTGGCCTGTTAACAGGCCTTACTGGAAACTGAATGCTTAATCATGGGACACCATGAAACCTGAGTTGCTTATCATGAGCTGGGTTTTATGTTTGTTTTTTATTTTTAATTTGCATTTATTTATATATTTGGTACAGGGTCTCTACACAGCTTGGACTCTTAGTGATCCTTCTGTCTCAGCCTCCCCAGTGCTGGGATTACAGGTGTGTGCCACTATGCCCACTCTTGGTGGCTGGCACGATGTGCCTGGGGAGTGCTTGGGGGCTGGCACATATGTGGAACTGGGGATCGAACCCAGGTCCTTTCACTTGCCAGGCAGGCACTTAGACCGCCAAGCCAAGACCTCTCCAGCCCCATGAGCTAGGTGTTATCTGACACACTGAGTTATAAGGTAGGACATGCACAACAATAGCCCACCATTAAATGGAAGTGGTATATATGTGATGGAGCCAGAGCAGGTTCAGAGGGAATGAGTAAGTCACATGAACAAGTAGCCCAGATGGCCATGGCTCCTATGCCTGTCAGACTGCCTCTGTTGCCCATTGTGCATCTATGGCCTCATGGGTTGTACCATCTGATCAGACATCAGAGGAAGGAAGGCTAGGGCCTGGCTTCTTCTTTTTTTTTTTTTGTAGCTCCCCATTGACCTGCAGCAGCGCTGGTCTGGGTTGCCTTGAGTATGTGGGAATGGAACCACCGCTCAAAGAAACTGACTGCCTCCTTTAAGCAGGCACTTAAACAACGGGCCCCCCCATCTTCTTTTTTTTAATATTTATTTATTTATTTAGTGTGTGTGTGGCCAACTCAGCCCACCAGGGGGTGGGGCTGGCTGGCATGTAGTGCTGGGGATTGAACCACAGTCCCTGTGCTTTGTTTAGCTTAGCTTATTCTAAGTAGGTGCTTTAGACCACTGAGCCATCTCACCAGCCCGAGGGCCTGGCTTCTGAATAATCCTGGACACTGTACAGACACCACCCACAAGTGGAAAGCTGCAGCACTGTAGTCCTTTTCCAGGACATTTCTAAGGACAGTGGTGAAAGGACATCACAGTGAGCAGAACTTTAGGCAGTGCACCTGGTAGTCTGCTTTGCCTGGAAGGAGAAGTGACCAGATGAGTGACTGTGTACTGATTCATGGCTATAGTGTGGCTGGGTGGTGAGGAACTTGGAAGGTACATGACTAGAAAAGTGGTAGCAAAGATATTTGGGGGAGGAGTATATGGCAAGATCTTGGCTGGACTTTCTCATATGGGCAAGGGATGTAAAAATTGTTTCTTCACAAGAGAGTTAGGATAAATGTACAGCTACTTTCTCTTAGTTCACTGAGAATAAAAGTTTGTACTAAAATTGTTTTTTTTGTTTTTGGGTTTTTTTTGTTTTGTTTTGTGGAACCAGGGATTGAACTCAGGTCCTTGCGCTTGCCAGGGAAGCACTGTACTAATATTGTTTAAACAAGATATCATGTCTGCATCTTGTCCTCTAATAACTACCATGAAGACAACAATAGGCATGGCTGGGGAGATGGCTCAGTAGACTAAGCACTTCCCCGGCAAGCACAAAGGCCTCAGTTTAATCCCTGGTTCCACAAAACAAACAAAAAACAATATGCAATGTATTAATTACTGGAAACATCCTGCTAACCTGTATTGAAACTGTTTTATTGCTATTCTTTTTTTTTCCCTCATTCAAATGAAAAATTGGGCTGGGGAGATGGCTCAGTAGAATAAGCACTTCTTGGAGCAGGCCCCGGGGCTGGGAGGCTTTGGGCAGCGGCTCTGGGCCAGGGGCAGCGGGAGAGGCCCTGAAATATGGAGCAAGAAGAAGTACAATGCCCGGTTCTCGCTGGCCCAGATCAAGAAGATCATGCAGACGGACAAAGAGATTGGCAAGGTGGCAGCAGCTGTGGCTGTACCTGTCATCATCTCCCAGGCACTCGAGCTCTTTCTGGAGTCTCTGTTGAAGAAAGCCTGCTAAGTGACCCAGTCTCACAAGGCCAAAACCATGACCACGTCCCACCTGAAGCAATGCATTGAGCTGGAGCAGCAGTTTGACTTTTTGAAGGACTTGGTGGCGTCAGTGCCTGACATGCAGAGAGATGGGGAAGACAACCACATGGATGGGGACAAAGGTCCTCGCAGGGGTCGGAAACCAGGCAGCAGGGGTTGGAAGAATGGTGGAATGGGGGCTGGTGAGATGGCTCAGTGGTCTAAAGCACCTACTTAGAACAAGCTTAGCAAAGCACAGGGACTGCAGTTCAATCCCCCAGCACCACA